CACTCCTAGTAGAGTAGCCTGATCCGATCTCGAGCGGGCGGTCATTGACGGGTCCTCGGCTGCAGCCAATATCTCCCCTCACCTCAACTATGCCGCGCCTTTCTCAGATGGTCGCTGCACTTGTTCCCCCGCACCTCCATATCATCCTCCTCCCCCTGGCATCCGACGCTTCGATTTTTCCGAGGGTCCCCCAAAATCCAACCCTTTTCGCAGGGCCGGCTTTTATTCATTCTGAATCGCATTCCAATGTTCGCCAGGCCAAGCGAAGGCCACGGAACGGAATCCAAAAACGACACAAGTCCTCCGTTTTGCTATTCTACAGACGTTGGATGTCTGTGCGTTCCACCCGCATCCCCCCACTCCGCCCGTACTCCTCCGACCACCTTTGTGCCCCAATTCCCCCCCTCCCTAATCTCCACCCCCCTCTTGGTCGGAAGCGGGGGGGAAACTCATCCTCCCAGTGTTCCCCCCCTCCCCCCGCAGCTGCCCTATCTTTTGGAGACTTGGGCCCCCAAACCTGACGACCCGTTGCCCAAGCGCCCAGGATCGGTTCATCGTAGGACAACTTTCGGGGAAACCACTGCAAACAGGATTCCCCGAATCAAGCCCTCCGCGCCCGAATGTAAGAATGTAAGAAGACTTCGAAACGCATTGAACCTCGAATGAACACATATTTTGAGAACATATGGTGAAATCCACGACGGGGCATGCCAAACAAAATATCAGATGGGGCGCCCTTAACGAAATACGTGAATGCAGCACGCGTAAGTATGCACAGCACGCGTTCGCACGATCGCATCGCCGCGCGCCTGGCCGGACTCAGACGACAACGCCAGTTCATAATTACACACGAGGCAGCCCACATCAACGAGCGGCTCGAGCGAAACCTGTGCGGACAACGTGATGTCTCGGGCCAAAAGGAAGCTCGATACGGCTTTGAACAGGGCCCGTGGGGGGCACCGAGGCGGCGCAAAGAGCCAACCGAAATCGAAAATTTCAAACGGTTATTTCAGATGCTCCACTATGGCTTGCTCTCCGACCGCCTCCAGGGCCCTTTTGGAGCCATTGTGGGCCCCCATTTCGGGGTCATCATCTGGAATTCCCCGGGAGGCGCGTGGAAGGTATCAAAAGACGCTAAGACGGCCACGAAATCCGACTGGAGTGGAGCGTGTTCAACGGCGTTTTCAAATGTTCCATTGCGGTTTGCTGTCGGGGCTGTCCAGGGGCCCTCTTGGAGCTACCTTGATACCCCCAGGAGCCCTTCAACAAAACCTATGAGAGCCCCAAGCGGGCCCCAAGTTCCAACCAGAGTGGAACAATTCTGAAACTGCCCTCTCAAATGCTTCACTCTGGCTCGCTCGCGGGGCCCTCAGGGGCCTCTCCTGGGCCGCTTCGGAACCATTTGGAGATCACCAGCAATCTTCAACGAGGCTTGGAACACGGCATCAAAACAGCCCAGAAAGCGAACCAAGAGCAAACCAGAGAGAAGCATCTAAAAACACTACCGTTTCAGATGTTTCACATGTACCCGAGGCGTCCAACATCGCAAAAACGACCCTCAATAAAAACGGAAGAACACGATTTGGGGAACCGTGCGATATGGACTGCGTCTTGAGAAGCCATTGGTAGCGCGCTCCGCCAGCATAGGAGCGCAATCTGTGACTGATCCCAGCACTTGCTTTACAAAGCGGCTAAAACATGACACCGTTGCTATGTTGTTTCTCTGAACCGTGAAAACAAGGCTTCAACGATTCGTGAGCTCATACGACTGTTTTCTCAAGGTTGTGACAATGGTGCGCCAACGGCTATTTATTTGTTCCCACGGCAAATAATCGACCGTGGATGTCACCAGTGACATTGTTAATCACACAGCGATTGCACTGAAACGGCCTGCCGTTGCGCCGAGCGGCCGGTAGCCTTGGCGGCTCTCGCCAGCGTAGATCCGAGGATCCTCATGGGGACGCAAAATATTGAGAGAAGGTACCCCCACTGCAGCCGACTGGCCGGAGGATCAACGCTTGTCGCGAGCCAGCGACTCACAAGTCGCATCCCCGCTTCTGTCGAGCATGCTGTGTTGCTCGGGCCCTGATGGATAAGGCGCAATGTGTTCACGCGGGTGACAATCTCAAGAATGATGGGCTGGATTATAGGCCCCGCTGCTGGGAAAGTAACGAGAGCAACTCTCAACTTCATATGCGGCGTGGTCAAGTATACCTCGTTGCGGGGTGGCCTCGTCGATCCCCCAATCAGTCATCAGCAGCGTGCGCGCGTAGCGAAGCAGGCTTGTTGGACCCCGCTGGCAATGACACAGGCAGGCGCGCGCGCTGCAATCTAGGGTTCGAGCTTAAGGCCCCCCCAAGGCTAGGCCAATCCAACCGACCAAGTACTCTTGAAGGAAGACCCCTCCAACGCGAAGCTCTAAGAAGCCCTGGGGGCCTCCGAGAAGCCCCGAGGAGCTCTGAAGGTCCTTCAACTCCCCGTCTGACTTCTGACAAAAAACCAGGAGGCCCCCACAGGCACCCCCGGGGCGCAATCCTGAGAAAAACTGGGGTGGACAGACCTGGCAACGTCGCGGGGGTGCCCTGGGGGTGTCCCGGGAGTGCCCCGGAAGTGTCCTATAGGAATGTCTGCAGGAGTGCCCCGGGAGTGTCCCGCGGGAGTGTCCCGGGAGTGCCCCGGGAGCGTCCCGGGAGCGTCTGCGGGGCGCCCTCGGGGCCCAGGGAGGCGGGCGAGCCTGAGACTTGGACGTCGGAGCGACTGTCGTCCCCCCGCGGCCGACTCACTGCATCTGGACCCTCGCTGCGTTTTATCTGCTGATGTTTGGATTTTTCCTAGCATGGGCTAATGGAGACACGCCGGCGATGGATTTCTTGACCATCCACGCGGATGGCTTGCATCTCCCCGCCTCGCCGATGTGGCCGAGGCGGCCGGAAGCGACGGCAGGTGTCTCAGCGGGGAGTCGAACGCCCCTTCTGAGCTTGAGCTGCTCTACGGGGAAATTTTTTCCATCTCCGTGGCTGGTAGTCCAGCGGGTGACTTTGGTTGTCATTTGCTGGCTAGTCCAGTTCATAAGCATGTCATGCAGTTTCCATGGATAATCGCGTAGCACGGCCTGCTCGACAGGGGAGGGGCTACGATTTCTGAGCTACACTGGTTTGCGACAGCGGTCGACCGCAAGCGGGGGAGTACGACATGTCAATGAATTTGCTGCGCCCTCACGTGTGATCTAAGATGTATATTGTCGCGAGCCGTCCGGGCCATCGGCCGTTCGACGCAAAGGCGGGTCACCTCACTGCAAGCACTTTGGTTTAACGTGTCGCTGATGATGTTTTCGGCTGCCCGTCGTGAATTGACCGTTGGCGCGTCGCTGTCGTGCCCCAGAGATAACGAATGAATTGGCGACATGTCTATGCATCTGGTGTTGGCGAATCACTGGCGCAGTGCCCTCACGCCTCAGAGAAACAGCATCAATTTCGTTTTTGTTTCAATCGTCTGGCTTACAATTTCTTGAATCAATCACGCGCTGAGCTGTCACTCCTGTGGGCTGCATCCCCGAGAGCTTGTCTGTCGAGGCACAGTCGCCATGACATTGTTCCCCAAGTTATGCTTTCACGGAGCGGGTCCATTTGTTCCAACAGGGCCCCAGGAGGGGCCGAGCAGGACAACGAAAACGAGCCAGAAAAGAGAAAGACCGCGCTCTGGTCGGGGCCGTCTCAGGGCCCTTTCAAGACCCCCTGGGCAAGTTGGCCCCAAGAGGACCCGAAGACGGCCCCGAGAGCGACCCACAATGAAGCATCTGAAACGGCAGTTTTAAATGCTCCACTATGGTCGGCTCTGGGGAACGTCTCAGTGCATCTTGCATCTTGAAGCCCCCTGAAGCCTCCGACGGAGCTTTTAGATGGCCGTTGAAAGGGTGCCAGATGGGTCCCGTCAGCGAGCCAGCTTCAGAAACGACCCGTTCAACTGCTCAACTCTGGTTGACCATGGGGCCGTTTTGAGATCCTTTGAGGCGCCCTTGAAGCTTTCGGGGGGCCTGAGATGGCTCCAGGATGGTCCTGGCGGGGGCCCGAGAGCGAGCCAGAATGGAGCATCCTAAACAACCGCTTCAAGTGATCTACTCTGGTTGACTCTTTGGGACGTCCCAGGGCCCCGCACGGGACCCTTTGAAAGCCATGCATGGTTCCTGCGGCCCGAAACACCGCGCCGTCTGTACATGCTTCGCTCGAGCAACTGACCGGGATGTTCCCCAATGTGATGTTTGACTGGTGTTTCCGTGCGGCTCATGCCGAAGGGTGCATCGCGCGCACAGGCGCGCGGCGGTGTGCCGGTTGGGTATGGCCATGCGAACGCGTATTGTGCATTCAAATTCTCGCATGTTGAATGTGCGACATTCGCTAGGGCCGCTCCTGACATGCAAGATACGCAGTGCAGACGCAATGCGTTGTGCCCTATGTTTTAAGGTGTGCGTCGAATGGCGGCTCAAGATAAGATCAGCTAGTGTCATGTGTTCTGGATCTATCCATCGCAACCCCCAAATCGAATTTGAGATAATCTATCTTCGAGCGAATCCTCCTCTTCCTCCTCTTTCTCCTTCTCTACCTCCCAACGCCCCTGCTCATCTATCCTCCTTGTCATGTTTTCGTTTCTCCCTCTCATCCCGATACGCGCAATCCCGACAGAACGATGTACCCTCTCAATGCCCCACCCGCTGAAGGAAACACCGTGGCTATAGACCCGACAGAAGCAATTTTGGTCGCAACCGCAGATCGGAGCGCAGTGCATGCGCATTCCCCGCAAAGACACATCGTTTCGGCGTCGGCTGGCGCCGTCAGAGCGGCCAGTTGTCCCCCAGCGGTTCTCCGAGTTCATCCCCAATCGCATTTTGTCGGACTCCAGGCCCGAAGCCGGCCTCCAAAGGCCAAAGTAATTACAAGCCAGCCGTGTCGGTTTTCTCGAGCCGTCGGATGTCTGGGCCCCCGCATTCCCCCCCCCCGGCCAACCAGAAGCTCATGACCCCCGCCGCGGCGTAGGTGTCCGCGATACGCACCGCGGGGCAGCACAGCGTGTGGCACAAGACGCCCACGTCCGCGCAAGGCGAGCTGAGATTGGAGCGGAAGTCGCCGGGGGCCCCGACCATGGGCGCGGCAGAGAGGTGCACGGGGATGGCGTCCTGCGGAGGGGCGCGGATCGATGCTTTCTTGGGGGGGGGAGTGAAACTGGACCTCCGACGTCTTGAGCATATCCAGACGGATATTTCTGCTGCTGCTTTCGGCCCCCAGGAGCCCTCGCCGAACCCCAGGACCGTCAAACAACGACTCTGGATGAAAAGCCAGTCCTTCGAGAGGGGTCGCAACTGGGAATGGCATCCTGCGGAAGGCAGAGGGACGAACTTTTCCGGGGAGAGGGAAGAAAACAATGCCATGTAAACATATTCGAGGGACCTTGTCTGTGCCCATTCGCATCGAATCGCATCGGATCCACGCCGAATCCGCGTCGAATCCGCGTCGATCCGTGTTGGTCCACGCCGGTACCGCGTTGGATGCAAGAAAAGACCGACGTAATGAATGGAAATCCGCCGGCCCCTTGGGTCATCGGCGTGTGAAATGTTTCCCCCTCCCCAAACCCCTCCCCCGGGAACCCGGTCCGGTCGATTTGGAGGGGGGGGGGGGCCCACCACGAGCGACTCACGACGCTCTTCCGGGCCCAAAAGGGCCCAAATACGGGCCAAGAAGGCCCCAAGAGGCCTCCCAGACGTTCCAAGAGGCCCCCAGACGCCCCAAGAGACCGCCTAGACGCTTTAAGAAGCGCCCAAGAGGCCCCAAGAGGCTTCCAAGACGCCCCACGAGGGTTCCAAGATGCCCGAAGAGACCTCCAAGACGCCCCAAGAGACCTCCAAGAGGCCCCCGAGGAGCCCAAAATCGTTAATTTTCATTGTTTTTTTCTATGTTTTCGTCATTTTCGCCTTTTCCGCCTTCCGACGCTCCAAGACAGCCCAAGAAGCTCCCAAGACTGCTCCAAGACGGCACAAGAGGCCTCCACGACGCCCCCAAGACGGCCCAAGAGAGCCCCCAGACAGCCCAAGAGCCGCCCAAGGCGGCCCAAGAGAGCCCCCAGACGGCCCAAGAGCCGCCCAAGACGGCCCCGAACCTCGCGGATACGGGCCCAAAAGGGGCTCCAGAGAGAGACCACGCACCGGAAAACCCAGCCTTACGCCCCAAGAGGGCCCCAAGAGGCCCCAAAGAGGCCCCAAGAACACCCCAAGAGGCCCCCAAGACGTTCCAAGAGGCGCCCAAGAAGCCACAAAGAGGCCCCAAAACGGCCCCCAAGAGCCTTCGAAACTGCTCCAAGAGGCCCGCAAGAAGCCCCCCCGCAAGATCCCAACGGACATCTCCGAACACACCGGTTTTTCGAGTCGCGCCCAGCCCCATAACCCGGAGCCTCATCTCAGTGTCCCCCTCCTCCTCCTCTTCCTCCTCCTCCTACACTTCCTCCTCGTTCCCCTCCTCCTCTTCCTGCCCCGCTTCAGCTCATCCTCACCGATGCTTCTCCCCCCCATTTTCCGCCTCACCCCCCATCCTCCTCTTCCCGTCCTCCCCTTTCTGCCCAGTACGCGCAACCGATTGGGCATCATTTGCATGTCTTGCACTTTAGGGTGCCCTTCTTTGCGTCGCGCGGGACATTGTGCGGGTCGGGGAACGCCGACTTTGGTAGTCCTCTGATAAGCGCGACACGCCCCTCTGCCCGCAACCGGCCCTCCCCCAAGCTCCGTCCCCCAAACCTCCGACGTCGCGCCTGTCTTCGCCGCGCGGGCCCCCCAGGCATCTCCCCCCCGTCTGCAGGGCCGGATCTTCTCATCCCGCATCGCTCGTTCATGGCCCCGGGGCCCGAAGCAGCCTCCGGAGCCCCGGGCTGAAGAAGACGGCCTCATGACTTTTTCGTAAAGCCGGAGGCCCGTGCCCCGGGCCTCACGCGCCGATGCCCCCGGGCCTCTGCCGGGGGGGCACTCCCGCCAGGAGCTCGAGGGCGTCCGGCCGTGGCCGCGGGGAGGCCTCCGGAGGCCCAGGCCCACTTTGATCGTCGGGTGGGTGTAAGTGCGGTAAGAGCGTTGTATATCCGATGAAATCGTTTCAACGAAGATGTATGTAGGTTCATGCTAGTTGACCTCACATATTCAACATATATAAAATATCGAACTTCGCATTCATCTACTTAACGTTTTGTTAGATAAGTATATTCAACAACATGCCATACATACTACTCACAGAACCATCCATCTTATCAACTGAGCTATCGGGTACCACTGCCAAGATATATCGATACATACACCTCAACATACCCAACTTAGTAGCTAAGTCAGCTAAGTCGATGTGGGCTGTCCGATTCGGTTAACCCGAAATTTGCATAACTTTCTATGTTTTGCATGTTTGTTCTTGATATTGCTATGTTTCGGGAAAAAACCACAAAAAACGTTTTAACAACTACAACACAACAGTTTTTCAGGACAGGGCGCCGCAGGTCGACGCGCCGAGCCGCCCTCAGGACGCCTGCGGGGCGCGGAGGGGAAGGGGGGAGAGGGAGAGGGGGGGGGATCAACTATTCTTCAAACTGCCTCCCCTCGGCGGCCATCACCGCCTCCCCTCTCCTCTCCTCGTTGTCGGCGGCCAGCCCGCCCCCGCTCCCTCCTGCCGCCTTCCCTCCCCGAGCCCGCCTTCCTTCTTCGGCGGCATATCCGCCCCTCCCTCCTGCACCTCTCTATCGAAGGGCGGCGCATCCGCCAGCGGCATATCCGCTCTCGCATGCGCTCGTTTTTTCCTTTTTCACGTGATGGCGAGCACATAGCCATCGTCCTGTAGTCGCCGATAAGCCGCCCAGGCTGGCGGGATCAGCTCGGCGGGCATCACGGCGACGTCGCCGCGCGGCCGCCACAGGGACGCGCCTGGGCATGGCGCGCGCACCCATTCCAGGGTCTCCACCAGCAGGTAGCTGGCGGCGCCAGCCTGCGCGCAGCAATGCACGATGTACGCCTCGCCGTCGCCCAGGAGAAAATCCTGAGGGCAGCAACGCCTCGATTTTTGGGGGGGCACACGCATGTGCACCCCTAAATACCAAGGTTGGTTGCGCCGTCTGTCCTGGCTGCCGTACATCTGGCCGTCGATCGACGCCTCTCTGCTGGTCCACGTTTCAGCCCTGCGGAGGGGTTCCTCCTCCTCCTCCTCCTCCTCCTCCTCCTCCTCCTCCTCCTGGCGGCGAGCCGCCTCGGCGGCAAACCGCCTTCCCCTCTCCCAGCCCATCTTCCTCCACAAAGGGCATGCAAGGTTGCGCCCCGAGTGCCCGAACGTACTGTCCAGCTCTGGCGTGCGCCACGCTTTGGCGCGGGAGCGCGGCGCCTCCTTCGCTTCCTCCAGGAAGCAGGCGAGCATCGCCGTCAAGGCCGACCGCTCGAAATTCTCAGGGTTGTCGATCTCCTGCGACCTGGACCGAAGCAGGTTGTGCTTCCGCTCGAGTACGAAGGCGTCCAACCAGATGCCGTCCTCCGCAGGCTGGTCGGGGACGTGCCACAAATAATGATGCTTCGGCTTGATCAGGGCTGGCCCGTGCGCGGCTTTGTGCAGCGCCAAGGAAATCGAAACGGCCTTGGTCCAGACAGCTATCAAATTCGGCACGGCGCCGATCCTCAGGACGTAGCCGAACCGCCTGCCACCTAAGCGCTCGAGGATGCGCGCGGGCCGACGCGGTGCATCCTCGAACGCGCAGGCCAGCGTTTGCGTTTCAGCTGCGGCCGCATGTCCTTTTGCCCTGCATGTACAATTCGAGCATCTTCGCCATCGCCTCGAACGACCGCGCCGCAGCGTTCGCCATGCCGCTGGGACGCAGCTCTGTGTGCACCCAATGACGAATCAAAGGGAACACGGCCAAGCAATCCGACGCCTTGCCCACGAAGTGCGACGCCTTGCAGGTCGCTTTCTTCCGAGCCACGCTGAACAGAAACGCTGGCGGTTTCCTGCCGCGTCTGCCAGTCCGCCACGCCGAGCAGCGATCCCGCCACGTTCCCCACGCGTCGGGGATGACATCCCTCACCGCCTTGAGGAGCGCAAAGATTTCGACCTGCAAGGTCCCGCCGCTGGCCAGCATGGTATGCATGGGGTCCCTCACGTATGTGCTCGGCGGCGCCACCGTCCGCAACGCCTGGCACGCCACCAGAGAACGGTCATCCAGAGTGATGCCCATTGCCGTCTCCTTCGGGGGCCGGAACATCAGAAGGGAAGGAAGGGGGGGACATCAGAAGGGGATCGATGGAAATGTTTTCCTCCCTGGCTCCAGTCTCTCGATGTTCGCTCTGGTTGTCGTGTCCCGCAGCGACGCCAAATCATCATATTGCTGCAAAAACTCGTCTGACGACAGCGGGTCAAAGCGCGACGAGTCAGCGCACCAGAGAGGCACGAGGTAATCATCGTCGTCGTAGTCTGCAAGACATTCCGCCTGATCCAGCACAACGTTCTTGCATTGCAAGCACGGTCTCAGACCTGCAGCGCCCTTGGTGCAGAATGTCTCTTTTCCAGCCGCCTCGTCTGCAATCAAGCGGTGGAACTTGGCGAAAAAGTGCACGCCGCCGATTGGCGCACCGTGCTCCGACAGACTCTCTGGGCCCAGGAACAGCGCGCGAAGCAATGCCCGCGCCACGGCCGAGCCGCCGATGCTCTTCTTCACGACGACGCGCAAGGTGCCGATCGGCAGCCACGCAACCTCCTTCTGCAAGAAGGATCCGAACTCGAGGAAACTCGCATACACCGCGAGCTGATTCCGACGATTATCTATCTTCAAGGCGTTGCCCACGCCAATGTCGTCGTAGTACAGCAAAAGCCTCCACGGCCGATCGCGCGACACAGGGAAACGGCGCATCGCTTCCCAAAACATTGAACTCCAGAGAGGGCAGTCCGACAGGAGCCTCGGCATCAGCCGATGCGGCAGCGCCACGCTCCATCGGAAAGGCGTGCCGATCTTGGGCTGCAGCCGCACTGCGCTGATGAGATCGGCCACGGATGCCGTCTGCGATCGCTGCATGGCCCGAGCGCTCACGTCTATAGCATCGCCCGCGTCGTCGCCATGGCCAAGCGCAGTCACGATTCGCTCGAGCAAAGCCGCGGACACGCCGCGCAGGGCCAGACACTG